CATTAACAGAGACATGGAAAAGAAGAGGAAGGTGTTGTGGGTTCTCCTAAGCGTTGCTTTTATTTTTTTTTCTTATTTTCATACTTTAGCCAATTTTTAGCCATTGGTTTTCCTGGAGGAGTTCATCATGTTGACTTTGCCAATATGAGTTCAACCATTAACATCAGAGGTGCTTGGGACCTTCTTACTGAGAATGGCTGTGGTTCACTTTGGGGGAGCTTTGGTCCTTACCTTTGGGCCTTCCCAACATAGATCCATAAAACAGACTGGCATGAGTCCTTCTCATGGGCTCATGCAGGACATTGCTCTGGGATCCAGACCCTTGGTTGAATAGTCTGGGTCTTTAGTGTTGTGGACAGATTTCCTGCACTTTCTTGTGTTTTAATCTGGGTAATCATCCATAAATAGTATTATAAATTCTGTGTTCTGATTCTAATTGCTCTCCTCACAACCCCAGACTACAACAGACCTAAGGAACAAGATACCTGTATCTTAAACTATTGTCGATTTTTAAAAATAATTCCTAACAAGGTAATCTTAGACCAGATTTGGCTATTCCAGATTCTTCTCATCCTTCAGGTCCACCTTTCTTAGTGTGTTGGCACTGACTTTTCAATATAACCTCATAGTTGCAAAACAGCTACAACAATTCCATCATATCATCATGTGAAAGTACTCCATTGTGGAAACAAGAGGCTGAGGCAAATGTTTTTAAGATTATTTGCTCTCCTTAGTCTCTATCTCTTTACATAAACAGAAAATCCTGATGAAAAGCTCAAAAGATTCCTTGTTATGTTTCACTGGCCAGAAGAAGGACCTTCTTCAAACTTAGATTAAAATTGACAAAACAGGTCCAAGCATTTTCTGGCTTAAGTTATAGTCATCAATACATTTCTGCCCAGCTAAAACTGGACTGTTTCAGAAACAACGAAAGGAGTTGCCATTTAGAAGACATCTCTGCCACACATCACCAAAAAGATTTTGAGAAATATGCCTGCCTGCCTCTCTTCCTTTATCCCTTTCTCTTACTTCTCTCCTCTTCTTCTTCAAACTAGTAGTACACATTTAAGTAAAAGCAATATGTAAAATATTTTCATTGTAAAATCAAATTGCATTTATTCCTTCTCTGTACAGCCTGATCTCTTAATAAAGAAGTACATTCATTTTGAAAAAGCCATAATAAAAATAAATCAGAATAAAGAAATAGCCAGGTTCCTGAAGGGCTGTATAAACCACTTCATACTTCCTTATTTGTTAACTTTGCTATTTCAACTTCGCTTTATTTAATTCTGAATTTCTGTGTTGTTTCAATGGATAGCTGATACTGTAAAATAAACTACTCAGTCTCTCGGTCTGACAGGAAGTATTCAATATTTATTGAGGTATTGATGTTTCTAAACATGTAAGAATAGTTTTACATGTAAAAATAAACCTATACATTTCAACTAGAAAGATTTAATAATATTAACATATTTATATAATATAGTTTTGATTTTTGGGTGTAGAGTTTCCTGAGACCAAAGAATATCAATCTTTGCTATGTTCTTACTTTATTTTCCCATCAATCTGATATCCTACTGCCTCTTCTCCCATGCAAGTCTCCCACTTACTTCAGTGACTTCATTTGTTTGAATACAATCCCATATTCTTCATTTTAAACATTATCCTACTATATGGAGAGTTGGGTTACTTTCAAACATCTGCACTAATATGCTTTACCTGCAATCCTGTTGCAAGTAAACTGATTTTAATTATATAATTTTGATTGTTTATTGTAAGTAAAGTGTTCAGTTAGAAAACAAGTAATCGGGGCTGGGGATTTAGCTCAGCGGCATAAGCGCCTGCCTTGCAAGCAGGTAGTCGTGAGTTCGATCCCCGGTACCAATAAAAAGAAAACAAGTTATCTTACTGTACATTATGCCATTCACATTACGAACAACTAATATGTACGTAATATTACTTTATTAATAGGCCATCAATGGTAATGACATGTTCAACACTAGAGACGTTTACAGCAGAACTTAGGGTTACTGCAAATTTTTACACTTGTGCCATTATGTTAACACTGTAACTTCACAGAAAGAAAATAAAGAACTACCTAGATTGGCCATTCTTCAGTGGATATGCTCAAAAAGTCCATTACCAAGGACTTTAGAGAGACCAAAATGTGGCTAGAGCGTTCAGTAATCTCTGAGTATTAGGTCATCAGGTCTTATGGTAATGACATGAAAATGACAGCTTTCACAAACATGTGTGCAACAAACTTGCACACTCCTGGATGATCATACCCTCTCTGGCTCTCTCACTCTTGCAATGTTTTAATTGGTAACCCCTCCACACCCATCCTCACAACTCAATCTCCTTGTGAGTTTCAACTACAGGATTAACTTCAACCAGTACTTAAAAGCCAAAAACTCCTGAATCTATAGATAGCCTGTAGATTTCATGCTCATTCTAATATTTCATATCATACATCTAGCTTCCTTCTAGATGATCCTGTATATTCCAGGGATAAGCTTCCACTTAGAAAACTTTTACTATAAGCGTTTATTTTTGTGTTCACTACATACATACAAAGTCTCATAATCTATTTAATAAACTATTTTAGAGAGGTAAATTATCCTAAATATCTACATCCCTGGAATCACTCTCTAAAACTATCCACAATGTCTGTGAAGTGTGTACTCTGAAATCCTTCATAAACATTTATCTTTTTAATTCTATCACAAACTTGGTTCAATGTCTCATTCTACATAAGGGCTGTTTTAGTCAGTTTTCTGTTGCCATCATTGAATACCAGAGACTAGGTAATTTATAAAAATTTCTTCATGTTACAGTTTCAGAGGCCCAAAGTCCAGGGACTGCATCTAGGGAAATGGTTCTTGATGTTGGGAGAATCTGCAGAGTCCGCAGTACCAAGGCAGAATAGAGAACTACATGACAAGAGGAGTGGATACCACAGAGAGAATCAAACTGACTTTTTAGAACAGATTCTCTCTCAAGATAACCCGCTAACCCATTAATCCATTTAAGAATATATGCCTTATAGATCTAATCAGACCTTACAGGTCCAACCTCCAAAAATCTCAAACTAAAGATCACATTTTAACAGGAGTTTTAGTGGGAATATTCAAATCATTACATGGGTATTAGTACTGTACTGCTAAACTTTTAAAACCACTTTACTTGTCTCCAATTACTATCACAGCCAAAACATTCTCCATGTAATGTTAACATCCTCTATTTCTATATAACAAATATTTATTGAGCAACTGTTGTGTATGATAGTTAATTATGGTGTCAGTTTGAGTGAATTAAAAAAAACTCTTAGCATATTAGTGGAGCAGAGTTGTGGGTATGTCTGAATGATCTGAAACCTGCAGACTGAAAACAGATGACCCACTCTGGATGTGGGGGTGGCAACAACCCAGATGGAATAAAAAGGAAAGGCAGAAGGAATTCAGCTTTTTGTGGTTCTTTAGAGAAGTTCTGGTCTTGACTTTGAATCTTCCTTTCCAGTTTCTTCAGACTTCCAGCTCAAATTCTTCAGGTTTCTAGCACAGACAGTGGGTTTCAGATCCAGAGTCATACCAGATTCTGCAGTGAGCGCCAAGCCTTTGACTTTGCAATCTGTGCCTCTAGTATACCCTGACACACTGTACAACAGTCTTTAAGATGGGAATTGAAGAAAATGCTGTGAAAATCAAAGACCTCTCCTTAGTGAGTAACAGTTGCAGGGGGGAAAAAAAGAGGCCATCGGGCAGGGGCGTAAGAGAAGAGGGCATAAGAGGTCCATGGCAAGAAAGAGCCTTTAAAGGCTGAAACAAAGGTCATGTTGGTTGGAGTCACATTTATAATGGCTAGGGTACATTAAATCACATGAGAGGAATAAATAAAAGTGGCATTATCTAGTGTTCTGGGCCACTATCTGAAGTCTAAATCTAATGCAAAGTAAATTAGATGACAGGGAAAGAGTTTCATGCAAAGAACACAACATGATTTTAAAAAGTTGTCAGAATTGTTTCCCAATCAAAAAATGAGTGTCAATGCTCACTTCAAGAAACTTCCCTAGCTCCTCTGAAATGGTAATGCAACTTGCAATTTGCTCCTGAGTCCTGGTTTGCCTGCTTTTCCAGTGTAATTACACTTTTCCCAGTGTAATTACATTTTTCTCTTTCACTCTCACAAGTGGTTCAATGAAGACTGTCATGGTATGATCAACTTAGCAAAAAGTACTACAGTAAAATATTCCTGCAGCTGACCCTGAAAGCTCTCCTGAACCCCTGTCCCCAGTCACCTCTTTCTCTCTGCCATGTCACAGCTCTCATTTTATATCTCAAAGTACCATGGTCACTCTGAAAGGTAATGCCGGTGATATGCAGCACGGAACATGTATGCTCCATTCTATTCTCTGTCCTATGCTCTTGCCTCTGCAATCATTTCACCGACAAGCAGACAGATCCTTGAGGACCAAACTTGAGAAACCAACAAGGATCGACTGCTTCTCCTCTGCATTTTTGTCAGTCTTTCTATTATAACAGCAGAGCTCTTTCATTCACGGTTCCAGTCTCCTTGCTAGAATGGCAGGTACTTAATGGTCAGATTTTACTCTGAAGTGATTTGGGATTTTCATCACACACTGCATGCCTGCTTAAGAGCTAATCCTTGATTTAAGACTGCAAAGTGAATGCTGTTGCAAAACAGTAAAGCTGAGTGCTGAGAATTTAAAATGGATTTTTCAGTGTTAAAATATTATCCCTTTTATATACAATGACTTTTATTTTTCTTACCTTTGTTCCAAAGGTAACTGTATTTAGTAGATAGTGACAATAAGATTTTAATGAGCGACTAGAAGTAAAACAAACAAAAATCTTTATAGGGCTGGGAGCCTAATTGTCAAAGAAAGTAAACCATTTCATGCCTTGATAATAAATTTATAAATAATTGTGCAGGTGGAATGAAATGAGTTAATATATACTGCAACTGATTCCATCACTTACCACTCTTAAACAATCCTGAACAAATCCTATTCAGAAGAACTTCTTGACGCAGCTGCAGAACTTCAGCTTCCAAGGCTTCAACTTTTGATCTGCAGTTTGAATCCTGCTTAGACACCAGTGTTGCGAGGTGTTCTGTGTATTCTCTGCTGCTTTTGTCTGCTGGCTTAGAGCGAATAATTGCCAAGGCTAAAGCCAGCTTTGAAGCTCTCAAATGCCATGTTTGAACATCCATCCTGGCTTTGGTTCCTATTATTTAATTAGAAAAACAAGTTACAGAAAGTCTTTTAAACATTGGCAGTGTATTTTATTTGCTCAAAATTGATTTTGCAGAGTAATACTCATTAGTAAGTTTAAAAAACAACTTGGTATTAAGTAACAGAAAATAAAATTCCTAGGATCTGAAAACTGTATGAGAAGAATATGCAGAAAAAAGTACATATACATGCATATTAAGTATAATCTTAATTCAAAATAGTAGGTTAGGCAACTTGATGATTTCTTAAAGTGGAAAAAACACATTAGTGGTTTCTAACTAGGATACACATCAGAATCATTAAGGAAGCTTTTAAAATACATGTGTGACTGATTCATTTGTCTAAAATTCTCATTCACAAAATAATAGATGAACTGAGGTTCTTAAATTCTGAAAAGAGCCCACTGGGTAATCATAACCATTACATGAATCACCCATTTCAGTGTAAACCCTTCCTTTCCTCCAATCCATTCTGCTAAGTCTCAGAGTCCCTGCTTCCCAACTCTGCATTCCTTTCTATACCTTTATTTGCTCTGCCTGATTTTAATTAGCTCTTTCTGATCTATACAAAAAACAATCTTTTAAATATCTGTATTATTTACATTGTGCCTCTGCTTTGATTCTGCACTTTTAGAAATTTATATATGCCACCCAGCATATATTTTTCAAACCAACAATGTATCACAGTCTTACAATATAAATATATTTAAGAGAACAACATTATGAACCTTTGGAGTAATTGTTTTACTATCACCATCTCTATGGAAGTAAAAGCCTCTTATGGGTTCCACCAGGCTTTTTTGGGTTACTATAAAGGCTTTGTTCATAAAATGTACTAAATGAGAAAAACAATTAATGAATAATTAAAAGTATAGTAGGTACTTCTAATTTCTAAGTTCTATATATACATGCATAGATTCAACCAATGTGAGATCAGAACCAGTCTGATAGAAAATTACATTTATGTAGAATATATACAAACTTTTTTTGTCAATGTTACTTAACAATACCATGTAACACAATTTACATGTGTTAGACATAATAATCTAGGGAAAATTTTAAGTGGATGAGAGAATGTGTACAATATGGTTATCACAGAATTTTTTTAGTATTAAAAACAGAGATGGACAAGTAGTTAAGTAAAAAATGCTGATCATATACATGACTATTCTTAGTCACTAAAAATTCAATTTTCTGAAATGCTTTACCAAGGTGAAAAAGTATTAGTGATATGCTGTGTGTAACAAATGAAGACATGAAAACTCCAGTATACTTACAACAGGTATCTACACTGAAAGCAATCTTTTTGAACTGAGCCCTTGAACCTGTGGAGTATGACACTAATTTCAGGTGCTTAATGTCAAAATTGAACTGAATGGTTGGACACTTAGTGTCTGGAGAACTAGAGAACTGGTTGTTGCTACTGGAAAGTACCCCGTTTTCTAAACTTTTTCTCTGTTTAACTGAGAAAAAATTAATAGTAACATCCAGAAAGTCTTTATGAATTCAATTTATGTTTAAATAATTATATATGAACATTTAATGTTTACATAATCAATATGACCACTAATATGACCATACATAATTAATATGACCATTTAATATGACCATTTAATGTTTCCCTGGAAAGTATTAGGTGTGCTTAAATTCTTAGTAGTTTAAAACATAAAATTTTAACAGTCTTTTTAAACTTGAGCCTAGTTCATTTGGGCTTTTTCTTTGTATCCAAGAGCTGTCCTTACCACACCCAGGTCCTTCACTGGGTTATGGAGAACACAGTCAAATTCCCTCTGAACCCTAGACTCTACTTGAGACAATACACGCTACTCTACAGTTATCATTTTTGCAATTTTTATCTGCCCTATTTCTCATGCCCTCATTTTTGCTACTATACTTTAACTGAGATAAATTTGCCACTCCTGAACTGAAAGTGCTTAGAAGTATAATTTCAGATCTCAAAAGTTAGTTCCCATTCAAAATCACTGATGAGAATGTTTTCTTAAATATGTACCAAAAGCCTTCAAAACATTTCCTTATGTTCCAGAAATACATGTTCTATGATTTTTTACCTTTAATAAATAATCAGATCTGTATAGAAAAAAACGTTCAGTGTCTTTATGAAGTGTGATAAACAATACAGGGAGTGCAGCTGCCAACTGCAAAAAAGGCAAGTTTATAAAAACATCACAGGGTATCCTTGTGTATCTTATCCATGTTATTCACTAGATCTGGCACCATACAACCTGTAGCACTTTACTAAATCAAAATGACAGTGAAAAGTAAATGTTTTAAATTAATTCAGACCACTGAGGCAGCTAGGACAGTGCCACGAAAGACATGAAAGGGGAGAGTTCCAGAACCGCTTCTGGAATAGTGGTAAGAATAGTGGTAAGACAGTGGTAAGAATGATGGAATAAATGTGTTTGAGGAGAGGTTTTACTGTAAAACACTTTTAAAAATGTAAATACTCACTATTTTTCAATTAAACCATGTAGAAGCAGAGAGTAAAATGGAAGTGGCCAAGGGGTTTGGAGAATTGTTATTTAAAGGGAACCATGTTTCAATTATGATGAACTAGTTTTGCAGATGTATGGCATATCATTTATAGTTAGTATTTACATATAATCAAAAGTTGTCAAAACAACAGATCATAAATGTTTCCATTACCTTATATGCAGCTAAGGGTATGTTAACTATCTTGATTTAATCATTTCACAATGCACATGTCTTAGTTACCTCTCTCTTTGCTGAGACAAAATACCCAATATGCAAAGTTAAAGGAGGAAATATTTATTTGGCTCTCAGTTTGTAGAGATTTCCGTCCATAGTCAGTTGGCTTAAAGGCAGGGTGGCATGGCAAACAAACATCACAAAAGAGGAAGTTTACGGTGGGTAGGAGGTAGCAAAGCAAGCAAGGGGCCAAGACAAGCCTCTCTCTGTCCATTATACCATATTGAGTCTACTAGGGTTATGGCAATGCCAAACCAATCAGTGGGACTGATTCACTAATCACTCACCCTTAATCTTAGAATTGTACCATGAATCAGTTACATGCTCTAGATGCAGCCTTCTCTGAAAAGCTCCACCTATGACCATATGGGTTTTGGAGCAATACCTAGACATAAACCATAACAGTACATACTTTGTATTCTACAAACATATGCAATTTCATCAATTATATATTTATATAAATTTTATATACTGTGGCTATCATTCCATTATCAGATATATGGAAAATACATGAGTAAATACAATTGTGTCAATGAAAAAAAGAGAAAAAAGGAAGAAGAAATAAAGACTGGTTTTCAACAAAGCCTCAGAAGCTTCTACCCATCATCTGGGGGTTGTGATGTGAAGCCCGGCCAGAAACACTCCCTTCCCCAATTCCAATTCATTTAGTTTTTACAGTTTTGTATCAAAGGCAAGCTGGAAGGGAGAAATATTTTTATTTCATGTAAGCCCTGCAATTTCTTGACTTGCCAGTAAGTTAAACAATTGAAGGACACTTAATGAGCCTTCTTTAAATCACTGATAAAACAAAGAGTGAGCATAAGAGGAAATATCTACATACCACAATGGTGAAATATGCACTTATCAAGTATCAATCTGGAGGGCAGCAAAGCACTAGGAATGCCAGACCAGTAAGTTAATAAAAGATTTTTGAGATAATTAGTTTCAGGAAAGTTTGGACAAGGTCTAGCATGTAATTTTTGGATTAGATCCAGCTGACAAATTTCTTAATTATTGTTATAGTTTAGCACACACTGTACTGTGGAGTGCTCAGCAGATTAACATCATGTGAAATTTTATATAAAAATATGTTACTCAAGATTGCAAGTCTCTCTCTTTTAATAATTAAGAGGACTTTAAAAGCTTTTTCAGCAAGAAAGCCTGTGCATGACAGGAGACTGGTAAAGATAAAAGGATGTTGGCTTTTTATTTCTTTCTGTTCTGCTCCCATCAGACAAGTCACTAGCATTTTCTTCCAATAAATTAATTAATCAAAAATAGTATTTGTCTGAAAAGTCACTTACTGCTATTTTTTTCCTGTTTCTACCCCTGCCTTTAATTATTTATTGTTTGTTTTGTCATAGAAAAGATTATCTCTGAATACAGGCACAATTTCATGTGAGAAAAATGTATCACGTATATTTTATAAACTAAAAGAAAAAAACTTTACTACATGTAGACATGGCAAATCAGCAATTACATTCCACCAAGTAAATTTATAAAAGAAAAAAGGATCAGGTAACTCTGAGAAACATGTATTTTGCAAAAAAATTTGAAAGACCTATGAGTGTTTCCTAGTTACACTGTTATTTCACCAATTATATAGACAAAGATCCTTATTACAAAAACATACGTCCACAAAGTGTCAATCACTTTTCTTGCTAAGACACAACAGCCTAATCCCCGACACTCACAATTTAAGCAAGGAGAATTTTATGTTGGCTCATACTTTGTAGAAGTTTCACTGCATGGTCTGCTGGTTTCCAGGCAGAAAGGCCTGGCGGCAGGGTCTGTCAAGGAAAGCTGCTCTCCTTAAGGCAGCCAGGAAGCTCAGAGTAAAGGGAAGAGCCTAGGAGTGAGCCCTTTTAGATCGTATTCCCAGTAACTCACCTCTTCTGGCCAGGACCCACCTCCTATTAGCACATTTAGTTACAAACTCAGCTGTAATCCACTGAGGAGTGCAGCCCTCAAAATCAAATCACTACCCCAAAACACCATCTAAAATCAAGTGAGGTTTTGAGAAGCCATCCAGAAAAAAATAAATAAATAAAAATAACAATGTATATTTCAAACAGTCTGATAGATGATATAACTGAAATCTATAAACTTTAGAGCTTTGTATTCTTTCATAGGGTGCCCTCTAGACCTAGAAAAAGCTACACCTCATAAAATAGACTACAGTATAAAGACAGAAACCAAAGAAATAATCAGAAGAGACAACCAAGAGAAGTCCCACTAATTCCAGAGGGGAGAGAGATCACTG